TGCAAATCATCCATCTGAGCTACAAATCTTCTCTATTATTTGAAAACACTTTCAATTAGTTTACAACATAGTGTTGCTCAATTCTCGATAGAAATGGAGCGGAAATTTTCTAAACAACTGAAATCTTGTTTTATATGAAACTATGTACAGTGTCATGTGATATGCTACTAAATACTGTTTTACTTGAAAATTCCATATGAAAAGGAAATATTCAGCAGTTTGAATATGTGCTAAGAATTCTATACTGTGTTAATATATTCTTTGAAATAAAATCGTTTTACTGTTATTACTGATGTTATTATTAATATTACTATTGTTTAGAAAATCTTGAAAACAAACACTTCATTTTAATCATTTAATCACAAAGAAATCAAATTTTTTTACAGAAAAAAGAAATACAGAAGCTTCTATCACATGTATCATAGTTGAATAAAATACCCTTTCTTATCATACTTCCTTATTAACTTCTTTGAGGAAGAAGGATTCTGATTTTGGGCATACATTTCTTGTCGAAGATTTTAGACTTCGCTGTGTTTAAATGAGAAGTATTTCACGAAAAGTAAATATTTTATGTAACATGCATAACAAATTATATATATGAAGTGTTATTTATTTATTTCTATTTTTTCCCTTCACGTTCCCCAGTGGAACATAGGGCTCCAAGCTATCGGCTTGAAGTTTCTGTAGCAGTGTTTATTTCACAGGATGAAGTTGCTAGCCTCATGCCCAACCTTTCCTCATTACCAGCATTATTTCTAGCTTAGCGAGGTAAAGGAGTGCGTCGGCCAGGGATCGAACGCCGGACCATGTGCATGGTCGGTGAGCATCCTAACCGCTTTACCACCGACGCACACGTAAAGTGTTAAGTTTAACGTATAATTTTAGAAATAGCGCGAACACTTTACACTGAACAACATCAAAGTTTAAAACAAACAGTCTTTTTAATAAATTTGGATAGTGTTTTATTAATATATGTGTAGAACTTGGGCATTGTGGTAGTAAGTAATTCCATATTAGTTTTTTCATTAGATATATCATACAGTGAAACAGTATTATTCACTGGATGACACAACTTCGAACACAATTTATCATCGTACATAATCATACAACTTCGAAACTTGACTTTCATACTTTTCTTTGTTCTCTCCTATTTGTCGTCGTAGGCGTGATATTAGAATTTTCCAGATGTCTGGGTGGACAGGTGTTTAATTATTCTTACTGCACATGTTTAAAGTTGATTCGATAAATAAAGTTTCCGTTATCACCAATATCCACGGTTGTGGCAGATATATTCATGAATATGTGGGGAAAACATAGTGATTGAAACGTTCAACCCCACACTCAAAAGTATGGTGGAGGTATTTAGATGACACACTCACTGTAATTAGAACACAAGATATAGATAGATTTTTCGAACACATCAACTGAAAGGTGTAGGCAGTTCAATTCACTTATGGATTGGAAAGTCAGGTAGGGCAACTTTCAATGTTAGATTGTAACATAAAAATGAAAGAAGATGGAAAGGCAAACACTAGCGTGTACAGGAAACCCACACATTCAAACAGATATTTGGACTTCCTATCATCCCATTCTATGTCAGTATAAAATAGGATTGGTGAAGTGTTTAAATAATAGAGCACAAAAAGTAAGTGGTACCAAGGAAAATCTAAGGCAGGAAGTGATACATACAAAAGAAACTTTGAAACTTAATAATTACCCTGATAAATGTAGGGAAATGTAAAAATAAAATAGGTAATGATAGTGGTGATAGTGATAATAGTAATATTAATGACGACATGTATATCAACTATGCACAGGATAATGACAACACCGACAAGAGCGAACTTAAATCATCAGTAGCACTTGCATACAAAGAGGGAACCTCGGAAACTTTACGCAGAATTCTTAACAAGGCAGTAATAAAAGCGACTGGCATTCAAACCCACACACTCAATTAGAAACAGGCCTTGTATGTTAAAGGATAAATCCTGTGAAGCCTTTAAAACAAAACAATTTAGTTTATCTAATACCCCGCAGGAATTATTGTTAGGTCATATACATATTTCAAGGTAGTAGAACAGGTGCAGTCAGACTAGTCGAGCATAAAAGCCTTGCAAAATCTAGGTTAGTTGACCCAAATAAGATAAGAAATATGGAGAATATTTCAGCCGTAGATAGCACTAAATGTAATTATACACAACCATACAATAGGATGGGATGGGATAAAATGGCAGTCTTGGAGGGAGAGGTTGATAACGGAAACTTTATTTATCGAATCGACTGCAGACAAGTGTAGTAGGAATGATTCAACACCTGTTCACCCAGACATCCGGAAAATTCTACTACCACGCCTATAATGACAAACAGTAGAGAACAAAGAAAATTATGAAAGTCAAGTTTCGAAGTTGTGTGATTATAATTGACATGATTATGAACGGTGATAAATTGTGTTCGAATTCACGTCATTCAGTAAATAATGCTGTTTTTTCACTGTATGGTATATCTGATAAACAAACTAATAAAGACAGTGTTTGTTAGTTGAAGATGGTGATTATCTGAAAAGTGGGATGCATTTGCGAAAGCAATTTACAAGCAATCTGATTACATACTTATCATTCAAGTTAATTTATAGGAAAAACAGAAGGTTAATTAAAATAAACAAAGTGGTAATGGAATTATGCTTATTCTTGACAAATTAATGTGTGATCAGATTGTTCGAAATGTGTTGTGCATATACGTTGCAGTATTCAGATAATATCTGTCTTCTAATTTTTTTTCCTTCACGTTCCCCACTGGAACATAGGGCTTCAAGCTAGTGGCTCGAAGTTTCTGTAGCAGTGTTTAATTTTACAGGATGGGGTTGCTAGCCTCATGTTCAACCTTTCCTCTTTAACAGCATTGTTTGTGGCTTAGCAAGGTAGGGGAGTGAGTCTATGGCCGGGGATCGAACCCCGGACCATGTGCATGGTCGGTGAGCGTCCTAACCGCTATGCCACTGACGCACCTGTCTTCTAATAGTATTATCCAAATATCAAACTTGTTTCTGCCGCAATATACTTGTAACGTATCGGTTAACTGGCTGAGGTAGCAAGCTTAATAGTGCGCTTAATGACAGCACAACGAGGGAGCGAGCCACGACAGAAGAACAGTGTAGGCGCGGCGCCATATTACATCAATACCTTATAACAAAAGTTCGAATATTCAAGGTGCACCACATACTCATCAAGTTCAGCCCATTTTTGAATTTTATAGTTAATACAGACTACATTGTCAGGCTTCATAAATATGGAGAAATTCCGAAATTCCTATTTGGGCTCTACTCGATCAATGGCCTGGACAGCGCAATGTCACCCGACGGTTCCCAAAGGGACGTGTGTCCAGTCCATATGCATTTTCTTCTATATTAATTTGTTGAGCAGTAGGTTCTTGATTGGTTTGTTCCCAGAGTTTCTTGTTGCTTAATTCTTTCTAATCGTGGGAAAAACCCATTGGAACATTAGATCGAAAAGAACAAGAAGTTCAGCAACAAAGACATCTTTTCGGCGATCTCATTCTTAAAAGCTGTGCAATCGCATTTATATAGATTAGTTTACATGGATACAATTATTATTTGTTGAATCCCACATACAGTAACGAATGTGGTAATAATTTTCAACTTGATATGAAAGTTTGAAGGTACGAATATAGATTACAAGGGGCTTAGAGACAAGATTTCATAGGATTGGAAAACAGTTACAACGTTACTTCAGAGCAACGGGAAGGACAGACTTCTGCATGTGACCACTTCAATGTGATAGAACGACCTATGTACCTAGCTCCACAAGAGGAGGTGAACTGATATATGCACATTGAAGTGGTCACATGCAGAAGTCTGTCCTTCCCGTTGCTCTGAAGTAACGTTGTAACTGTTTTCCAATCCTATGAAATCTTGTCTCTAAGCCCCTTGTAATCTATATTCGTACCTTCAAACTTTCATATCAAGTTGAAAATTATTACCACATTCGTTACTGTATGTGGGATTCAACAAATAATAATTGTATCCATGTAAACTAATCTATATAAATGCGATTGCACAGCTTTTAAGAATGAGATCGCCGAAAAGATGTCTTTGTTGCTGAACTTCTTGTTCTTTTCAATCTGATTCTTTCTAGCCAATCTGCCGTCTGATCCTCAGTATGGAGCCAACGAAAGCGGCAGCCGTTAGTGAACGTCTGCTGTAGCCTGTTAGAAATGTTTTTCGTGACGCGCGGTGCTAGCTTCTGAACTATATAGAAGCACTAACTGGCTCACTTAACATTGGCGTCTTTTCATGCTGAGTGGAAGAGATGTTAGAAGTGATCTTAGACTGATGAAGGTTTGTCTTGGCTTTCCGATTCTGAAATCCTCATTCATGCTGTCGTCTGTACTTAAAGAGGTTCTTGCTAAGTTAGTGAAAGAAGTGACCTCTTTTAAATTTATTTAATTGACAGTGATCGGCATTAGTTTCTGTGGTTTGGCTATCTTCATTATTTCCGCATGCTCTATGCTTACTTGAAGTCCTGTCTTTACTGCCTGTTTCTTCTACCAGACTGTTGGTTTTCGTCTGTAAGTCTTCTAGTCTGAATGACATAAGATATATAATCATCCACGAAACTTAAATCTTCCAGAGTTTTTTTTTTGTCGGTCCAACGTATTCCTGTCTTCTTGCCCCTAAAATCTGAAGCATAATCCAATCCATCGTCGGTGACAACCGTCACCAATATCCAAATACTATTAGCTAAACTTCCATTTTATAAAGGCAGCAGAAGTTAGACTAACCACTAATAAAACATCTCTTCAATCAAGAAGGTGATTTTGAGAAACTAAAGATTTCAAACTATGAGTAACATCACTAATTCCAGGAAGTTGAAAGTACCCGAACACTATGACTGCATTTATAGGGTTTATTCAAACAACAATTGATTTTCAAAAGTTAACGTACAAATTGGTATCAATTATTTAATTTTAAATTAAAGACTCACATGGTTTAGTAATGGATTTCTTGACGACTTTGCGTTTCGGAGATCTCTTCTTCACCTCTGTAATGTGGTAAAATATTTATTTAATTCAGGAAAGGCATGTGTCATATTATAGTTGTTTTTTATGTTATGATTCTCTGAGTATTATATTCCATGTAATACAAAATCTCATTACTCGTAGTCTGATTTACTATAGAGTATATTATTGCAAAAGAGTATATTATTGTAATACAATTTGGGTAACTGCATTTAACAACCCATTATTATTATTTCCTTTAATAACTAGAGGAACATAGGGCTTCAGCTGCGAATCTCCATTGCCTTCGGTTTTCTGCCAACGTTTTCACCCCGCTCCAAGTCTGCCCACATGTTTTCATCTCCTGTTCATTTGACCTCCTCCAAGTCACCCTTGCACTTACGACCAACTCGCCGCTTCCCTTTCGGGTTCCACTTGAGCGATGGCCTGTTGTGTGATGTTACTCACTTGATGGTTTCCTTAGACTATGGTCAATCCACCGACTCCGTTTCTTTCTCATATCTGTTGCACAATCGGTTCCTGGTTGGTTCGCTCACTGCCAGAGATCCCTGTTGCTGATCTTTTCTGGCCATCTAATCTTGAGTATTGAGCGAAGACAGCTGTTGATGAAGGTCTGTATCTTGTTTGAGGTGCCCTTTATGACGTGCCAAGTCTCTGATCCGTATAGTAGCACTGACTGATTTCACATTGGAGTTGAAAATCCGGATCTTATTTTCATTTTCATGCTGAGTGCTGTTGACCTCCTCACAGACTTGACAGTAATGAGAGCTCGTCTTACTTTCCCGATCCTCGTTGCTTTGATATCCCCGTCAGTTCCTCCCACCTGTAGTTGAAACGATGCTTCCCAGGTAGGTAAAGGAGGTTGCTTCTTTCGGGTCCATCCCATTTTTGCATTTAAAACACTATCCGCTGAAAATAAACGGAAAGGTGGCTGAAATTCAGTTGATTCCCAAACAAATATTGACGACTGTAGACACCGTAAGATACTAAGAAGCTAGCTCATTTTGGATGCTTCAAGTCTTACAGAGCCCTAATAAGTTCGAAACTGCAATTTACAAATTTAGACGGGCAGAATCAAATAAAAGTGACTCCCTATTGTATGCAGTAATAAGTAGCCAGTGGAGTGAGTGAGATTTCAAACACAAACACACGCACCCAAGCAGAGATACAAGTGAACCAGATCCATTGATGATTATCGTCTTCTTTCTGTTTTTATATAAACGGGCAGTAGACTTTTAAACGAGATCATTGGCCGACAAGCAATTAAAACACTAATTGCTATTCACAAATAAAAATAGGGTTGCTTACTTGTGTCTTTTACACGATATATGTGACTGACGACGACCACAGTCTCCGCATCGCTAAGAGCTATATTTTCTTCATCAGGTATTTGAGATAAACCTTAGCGAAGAAATAGAAGTTTAAACACACTAACTCACCACCATCACCACCACCTTTTGTTACACGGCATTCCACGCTAACTAGCACCATATATATACCAAATGCGTACAAGAGAGTCTAAGAATTGAAGCCGTTTGAAGGTGATTGCCCAGAAATAATTAATTAAGCCTACCTTAAAGAAGTTCATTTATCTCTCAATTGTGTTGGGTGAAATTTAAATGACATTTTGGGCCATTATGTCATATTTATACCAGTGAAATTAAGACATTGAAATCAAGTCACACGTATGGAAGTGTAAGACATTTACTTCCCTACATTTATTTACTTTGAGTTATACCACGTGTAAAACCACACACAGTATACATTTTGTCAGCTCTATTCTCCATTTAAACTATACTTAAGCATGACTAAAATCTACTACACAATTTCTATTTAAATATCTTATTTTGGCAGTCACAAAATTTAGATAAAGCAATAAGAAGACGTATTTTTTTTCTGAATCGTGTGTAATGTATTTGCGCAACACTTTTTGAACAATCTGATCACACACATGGACTTGTCGTAGGAATATATACATATGAAATTAATAAAGAGTTAAGAGGTGAGAAAATAGACACGTTGGGTCAAGTTAAAAGGACATATTCAAAGTCAAAATAACAATGAAGACCTCTAAACCAAATAACAGACGTAATAGTACATCTGCTATGGTATCAAAACAAAGTTTACCAAGGAAGGTTTAATGTGATGATGAACTGTTACTTTGAACGCATAAAGTTGGTTTAAATTTTCTAATTGCCAGGTCTTCCACAAACTATGGGATACGCCCCAAACACGTGTTATAGATAGGTCTAAAAGACGTGCAAACATCAATTTTATGCCTTGTCTCTATAATATGTTTCGCAATAGAGGAGCCAGGTCTCCTGTTCTCACCATTAATGAGTCCTGGGGATTCCATTTGCTTCTGAAGCTATTTAGGAATATGCTTTGAAGCTAGCCCTGACTTGCTTGCAGAAGTCGATGAGTCTTCCCTATGTATGTGTGTCCACACATGCATTCAAATTGGTAAATACATTTATAAAATTATTTTTGTAAAATCTCAGTGAAATTGAAATGATTAATTCCAACGTGTCGTTCGGTAGTCTGGTCCGAACTTCTTCAGGGAAATTAATCGAAATTAACTGATACAACAGAGGTTTATATATAAAAGGAACATCTCTTGTTTTTGAAACTTTTTCCAATCATGAGTCATAAAACAAGTATCAACAAGTATAATAAACAAAATTGTATGTTTATATATAAAAGGACATCTTTTGTTTTTAAATTCTTTTGTCCAGTCATATGAAACATGAAACAGGTATCAACATGTATGTGATGAGAGGTGGCTGTTAGCCAAACTTGGTGGACAGTAATTCACGTCAGTGTTTATGTCCGCAATATTGGTCGTAAGAAAAATGAGAACAAAGGCTTTGGGTAGGTGGATACAGTTAACACATAGATGATCTGAAATTCAAGAAACAGTCACAAAGAGATGCAAGGTTAACTTTCGGTGAGAAACAACCAATCAGAAGACTGTGCTCGTTTGCTTAAATAATCTATAATAATGTACACGAAAATTTATAAATATGTGTTGATTTCCTTAATAAAGGAGCTGTTGCCTGGCCCTTGTCTTCTGTTGTTACATGTATAATAAACAAAACTTGTATGAGCTGTGATAGGAATTGGACCTCAAATTTTCAAAATTAGTCTACTTTTGTTAAAATATATGTGTATATGCAGCATACAATGGTGTGTGTGTGTGTGTGGTGGGTGAACCATCATAAAACATTTGTTAGCCTCTCCATAAGAAGACGTAGACAATCGGGAATTTTGACCAAGTATGACTAATTGTTGATACATATCCAATTTTTATTTATGAGTCAGGATTTGCCATGCATCAGCTAACATCACAACTTCACGTCTGTTCAAACTGTTGGGATTCACCTATATATGATATGCAGGGCTTCTGCAGTCAGTCAGTCAGTCATTCTTTATATGAACCAAAACCTTTCTGTAGAACCTTAGTCTTATCAAGTCGATTTTGTGTCCCGTCTCTATCGAATGCAGTGCAATCGCTGAGTTGTTTTCTAGCTTCTTCAAGTCTGCAGAGGTCTTTGGAACCACCTTTAGACATTGTTTATGCTCTTTCACTCTTATATTTACCTGCCTAGAAGTTTCTCCTACATATACGGCGTTACAGTCCCCACAATTGATCTGGTATGCACAATCCTGCTGGTTTTTTTGTTCTATTTTATCCTTAACATTTAATAGTGAAGAGCGTAAGGTGTTAGTTGCACAAAAATACACTCTTATGTTATGATCATTAAGGATTCATTTTATTTCATGGGATGTTTCTTTGAGGTAAGGAACCACCGCTGTACTAAACCCATTCTTAGCAGCAGGTTTTGATTTATCCTTATCAAATGTAAATAACGTGAACTGATGACACAATTCTAATGCCTTCATTATTTCGTCTGGATTTTGAGGACAACGACCACTAAGTTCGTTGTCTGAACAAAGTAAATTATACATATTACTTGAAGAATCATTAACGGGAACATTCGTTAATAATGAATAAACACCGAAACTTGCCATTACTTCATCTTCTTCAAAATGATTCAAATTTATTTTTATCTTAAATACATACGAATTATTCACTCTATGCTACACTTTCATTTCATATGGGCTAAGTATTCCATAAAAGTATTTATAGGGTTTGTATGTTGGCCAATTAGTAAAATCCACTATTGAACTGTGTTGATTGACAATCTCTATCTCTGCATTGTTTAAATACTCACCGTTGATTGTTAATATATTTCTTATATGGATTGCATTATAATTCCGCTAAATACAAATTCCTGAATTCCGCCCTCTCTGTGTTTTGGTTGGATTCTTGTTATTCGGTCATCTCGGAAAACTAATACTACGATTACAACAAATTACTACAAATTGGCGTCGCAATGGAACTAAATAACTTGGGAAAATTTCCTCTTAATGGTTCTCCGCGGGAGATTGCTGATTATTTGGAATGCTTCGATGCGTGGTGCATTTCAAAGAATGTTCGGGATGACAAAATACCAGCATATTTCATCACTGCTATTGGGCTAGATGCGTATAGCCTAGTGAAGACTCTGTCATTTCCAGATAAACCTATTTCTCTGCCTTATTATAAACTCCGTGAACTTCTGATAAATCACTTTCATGTAACTACATTTGAGACCAGAGAGAGGGCTCACTTCAACAAACTGGTTCGTGCTCCTAACCAGAAGATTCGAGAGTTCATTCTTCAACTTCAAATTCAAGCTTCAAAGTGTAACTTTGGAGATCAGCTGCATACTCAACTACGTGATCGTCTAATTGCTGGAATCAATATTCCTGAGTTAGAGAAAGAGTTTCTTTTACATATACGGCGTTACAGTCCCCACAGTTGATCTGGTATACACAATCCTGCTGGTTTTCTTGTTCTATTTTATCCTTAACCTTTAATAGTGAAAAGCGTAAGGTGTTAGTTGCACAAAAATACACTCTTATGTTATGATCATTAAGGATTCATTTTATTTCATGGGATGTTTCTTTGAGGTAAGGAATCACCGCTGTACTAACCCCATTCTTAGCAGCAGGTTTCGATTCATCCTTATCTTCTGCATAAAAAGTCTTTTTAATCTCAGCGTTCAATTTTTGTCTAGCTGTCAAACTGCTATGATCTCCGATGTACACGTTTTTCTTTGAGGTGAGTTGAAGTCAGTGGTTCTTGGTTTTCTAACCACTTTTTATCTCCTAATGAACTTGTCTAGATAATTATTATCAACTGAAGTTTGTGTCAACTTTCTTACTTCCTCATCAAGTGTGTCTTCGGTGCATATTCTTTGGAATCTACTGAAGAGGCACCTTACTATGGCTCTTTTGTACCCAAAACAGGGCAGAAAATGCGATAATTAAGATAATATCCTTTCCAAGTAAGTTTTTTGTAAATAGAATTTTTGTTTGATCCATCAAGCCGTCTACTAAGCAATATGTCATCTAGGAAAGATAAACAATTATCTTCCTCTTACCAGTGGCACAGAAAGTTGTGACGTCACATACTTATTCGGATATTATGCTGCATTAGTTTTAATATTATCTCAGATGGCACAGTTTATACAGAATCCAAATATTAATTTGCAGACTACCTTAACTATCCATCCTTGTGTTTTTTCTGCCTACAATGCTAATGAACTATGAAGAGTTCTACTGATAAAACGTGGTATTTTAATGTCCTGTTTCACTACTATTCACGTTTATTTTCATTTGAAGCAGTTGTTGTTAAATAATCTGTGAAAACTATTCGTCTTTACTGTTGAATTCCGACTAGAGAGTGGCGTTCACCCAGTTGGGAGTGAGGATGAATACTCACCATTCATGACATTGGCTGGTGCCACTCACGCTAAAAATCACGGATTCGTAGAAGTTAGAATTCATGTTCTAGCCAGTGACGAGTCGGATCCCATTGGTTGAATGGTCTATGAGCTTGACTTGTAACCGATAGTTCCTGGGTTCAACAGCTGGCAGATATGTACTGCCAATCACTCCCAAACTAGGGCAGACGAAACAGCCGGCTATCCAGTACTCCTTAGTGGTTTCCAATCGTTCTCTAACTGATATGAATCCGTGATCAAAACTGGTACAGAGTTTTCATTGGGTTTTTCTTCTGACTTGTGTGTTAAGGTAGAATTTCTTATCACTTTTGTTGTAAAGGATCCCAAAATATTTGGTACAAAAAGCTCCACCTACTAGTGCTAATACAGGAAAGTGCATTGGACAAAACAAGTTCATGACGAAGAGATACAATGTAGAGTGAACTCGATAGTATACACTGGTAAAATTAAACAAATGTAGTTTGTAATAGTGATGTCTTTCTGATTGATTAAAACTTCGTGTAGATTAGTCTAATTTACTGACATTTACCTAAATTTAAATCTGTCAATCAGTGTCAAACTGTAAGGTGTATAAAGATTATAGAAAAAGGCCATTGTAGGAAATTTTGCATAATCTTTGTCACATGGTGTTTGTTTGTCATGCAAAGGATTATGGAGTGTATGAAAGTTTAGCTGAAAATCGGAGATTTATAGATAATATGAAGGCTATTTCATTGGAGACGCTGAATCACTTCGG